AAGACGTCATTTTGGGCTCTGAGAGTTTGCAGTGAGCTTTTGTCCCTGTTTTCTGACATCAGTTAACTGATTTATTAAGAAAAACAATCTGTTCTGATTGTAAATTGTCTGTAGGTGTGAATGTGAGTGTGCTTGGTTGGCTGTCTCTAAGTGTAGCCCTGTGATAGACAGGTGACCTGTCCAGGGTGTCCCCTGCCTTCACCCTGAGTCAGCTGGGATAGACTCCAGCCCCCCATGACCCTAGTGAGGATTAAGGTGTAGAGATGATGGATGGATGGACAATCTGTTCTCACCTGATCTGGACTCGAAGCTTGACTGGAATAGATTTTTTTTCTGCTCCTTCAACAGTCCAAGCTTCTCATTTATTCCTGTGCATTTACATGTTTTCACTTCATGTCGGTATTTAGCAATGTTCATACCCAGTGCCAGGATTCAACATTAGGACATAGAGTATCTGCAGCATTCATACTTTCTGAATGTCTGTAAGGGTCCACGAGGGTGACATAGCTTTTAACTTTCACACTCTGTGTGCAGCCCAGAATTACTGCAAGCCTGCCGCCTGCCCATGCACCAGGAAAACAAATGGTGCTTCAAATAATACTTGTTATGAGGAGAGACTGTGCAAGGAGAATTGTCATCTTCTGCATCTTTACAATTCATCGTTTAAAGAGTCATAATTAAAGGAGCCACTGCAGGACTTTGGAGGCGCTTAGATTCAAACATCGACGAAGCATGAACACAGTAATAAATTCTCCAGGAACCCCGTGCTACGTCCCTCACCATGCAACATCCCAACCTATAACCTGCTGCTGTATCCTGTGAAAAGTGCAAAGACGTAAGCAGCTTTTCACGAGAGCTGATGTGTTTTTCTGTGTTTGATATGAGGGGCCATGCGACCCTCTGCAGACCGATGGGTACCTATTGTAGTATGAGTAGAAACACGTGCAGCCACTTTGGAAGTGTGCATCAGTCACACGGAAACCGTGAGTTCTTCTTAGACACAACTCAATATTTAGTTTCATTCTGATAAAGTATAATAGTAAATGTCTTGGTTGAGCTACTCAGCGTGCAACCAGAATGTTCTCTTCTCACAAGGGGGGGTTTGCTACAAACAGCACATTACGGGAATGGACTCGCGTTTTTAAGACGCTGAGGGAAGCCGCTGAGTCTGGTCTGGTTCTGGAGCCCCAATAAACAGCTCCATCCAGTATAAATAGCAGAGCAGAGTGCAGCAGCGGGGAGGAACAGCTGTAGTCGCTCTGTCGCCGAGGCCAGATCACTCCTCAGCCGTCCTGCCAGTCTTCTCCGAGCTGTCTAACATAAGCAACACTTGAGGACCCTGAACCTGTCGGAGGCCCTGGCTGAAATTTCAGCTCGCAGGCTGCAGCCCTCCACCTCATGTGTACCTGTATGTGTGTGTGCAGTTATATTTTTATGTAGTGTCTGTGTCTGCAGGTAGCCTTGTAAAAGCTTTAGCTGGGCACCTTCTGTGTTGGCTGTTGGATTGTTAACTTGTGATGAACTTTATGCAGTCATTTTCGCTCCACAGAGAATGATCAGCCGTCTCTACAGTTCACATCTACAGTGTGTTTTAGTGGCTCTCAGTTTATCGTCGTGGTTTTCTGCTCCACAGATTTGTTTTCTTTGCATCTCACTTCTCATGAACTCTGTTTCCAGCTGCAGCAGGCAGTTGTTTGCTGGAGAAAAAATCCAGATAAACCTATTGTGCACAACGAGAAGACAAACAAAGTTAGCGACTAGCAACAAGAATCTTTAAATGCAGCTTTAATTAAGCTGGTTTGTTTTTTTTCACTCGACAATTGTTAAATCATTCAACTGTAATTGATTATAAGCTCCTCAGCCCTCTAAACCCTAAACTGCAGTAGTGTATAGGCATGATATTCTTGTACAAATGCCAAAATTACACCATTTTTCAGAGACAGAAACTCTAAAACCAGAAAGAAATGAGATTATTAGCTTTCCGTGCGGTTCAGTTGGACAACTAATCACGATATTTTGTCAAAACTACTTTATTCTACTTGTCTCGTTTAAAAAATCCTGATACATAAACCATTTCCACTAACTTAAATCTGTGAAAAACAAAAAATTTTGTCCTCCGTCCTGCATCTATAAAGCTCTATATGACCCAGCTACGATGAGCAGTTTTGTGACAAAAATTCAGGGACTTTTCAGCTGAATTGGGGTTGAACTGCAAGACGTTTTCATTCAAATGTAAGAAATTCAACTCTCTTTTTTTCTTGTTTTCTTTTAATTTATGGCATTCTAACTCAATTATTCTGCACAGACGATATTTCTGAGTTCTCTCTCCTTCTAATCATGCTTGTGCCGTTTCCATCGAGGTGCAGGACTTTGTGTTGCAGTGAAAAATGAGCCCACAGTGTGTAAAAATGTGACAGGAGCATGACAACACCCAGATACTGCTCGGAGTTCAGAGAGTTAATAAACATTTCATGAAGATTTACAGTTTATTTTCCCGGGGAAGTGCAGACGGATTAAATTAGCTCTTCCCTCGTGTGAGATTCATGTTTTTTGTACACGATCGCTGACAAAAATAATAAATTAAACTATTATCACTGTGTGTGTGTGCATCCCACTAAATCAGTGCACATAGTTTAAATGCAGTCTGTGTTGGGTGTTTTGTTTTTTTTCCCCCTCTTTGCTGAGTTTTGGGGAAAGGGTTTCACAATGTGGAAACTGCAAGTATAAATAGTAAATGCTTGTATAATATCTTTCAGCAGCTCTCTAATGAGAAAAGAGAGAGCTTCTTACTAGGATCCAACATGTAACGGCATGAAAGATGAAAAAAAAAAAAAAAGAAGCATCGAATCACAGGAATCTGAGTTGCACAATGCCGGAATGAAAACAGAAAATATTAATGGGTTAAAAAAAAAGAAAAGAAACATGACTGTGAAAGTGAATTCCCTGAAATGTGGGCTGGATTGAAGGAGGTCTGCAGGTGCTTGATGGGCCGTCTGGCACTGCTCCCAGAACAGTTTGTAAAGGAAGGATTAGGCTGTTAATTGGATAGATGGTCCAAAAAGATTAGGTGCCGCGAGGAGCATTTCTTCACACCCCCCTCCATCAGCCCGGTCGCTGAATGATGGAGCCCCCTGACTGTAAACACAAGGCCCAGATGCAGTGTGTTAATGTGCCGACAGAGCTGGGAGGAGCCAGCGAGACGTCTGACCTGAGCTCGGTCAGGTCAGGTCAGGTGTCAAACAGGAAGGTGCCTCTCTGACGTTTAATTTGAAAGTCGTCTGTCAAAAGACGAACATGTTATTGCTAAATATGTCTGTAAGCGCACCAGCCCAGAGCCGTGTTTATGGTGTTTTATGGTTGTTATTGCTGTTAAGATATGAAGACATCCTACAGCTAGATATCCTGACAGATTTACAAGCATGTAAGAATTTTACTAAACTGCTACGTACAAACCAATGAACCATTAGTCATCTGTCTCAGACTTTGCGTAATCTTTCTGCCCCGAGCCAGTTGAAATGAGCAGCCGCTGCACAATCCACCAGCTTTATTTGCTTTCTACGACTCTAAAATGCCTCAGCCACCAGTCGAGCTCAACAAATGTTCTGCTGTTGGCTGCAAGAGTGAACCCAAAAGTCTTCATGCACTCCCAGCATCTTAATAACTGAAGATTTGGTGGATTGCTCTTATTTGTGATGGTAGTGTTCCCCCAATAACAGGAAAATCCTTACTGTTGTGCAGCTAATGTGGCTAACGTTAGCATTAGTTTTGATCGCATGCCCACAGGTCAGAGCTCTGATCTTTGCCACCTTTTGTGCTTCGGTTCAATCTAAACATTTGTCCTTATTTTGTTGTCAGGAAACGAAATGAAAACAGCGACTGAAATGCAGCCAATTAAAACCACATGTTAGCCAGCCGTCACCTCAGAGCCATTTTTAAAGCTGCTGATTTGCACCAAATGTCGCCAAACATATGAGTTAAAAGCAGCGGCTGTGCTGTGAACTCAGGGTTATTTCCATGTGAAATGATTTTCAGAGAAAAACGTTCTGCTTTGACTTCATGCTGTCCATCACGGTGGTATTTTAAGCTGTAAAACTGAGAGACACATTCTAAAGATATGTGAGACTTGTTTATTTGTGCACATGTGGGTCCTTTAATTCATGTTCAGAACTTTTTGTGGCATCTAAAGGACCTAAATGCTAATGTAAACATGCTAATAGGCTCATAATGACAGTGCTGTTGTTTAGCATGTCATATTGACCATCTTCAAAGTCTTTTTTTTGCATGTTAGGATGCTAACATTTGTGAATTAGTGCGAATGTACAGCAGAGGCTGAAGGGTAGCTGTACATCCATCCATTATCTACACACTGCTGAATCGTCACTGGGGTCGCGGGGCAGCTGGAGTCTATCCCAGCTGACTCAGGGTGAAGGCAGGGAACACCCAAGCACACTCACATTCACACCAATTTAGAATCACCAATGAACCTCAACATGTTTTTGGACTGTGTGGGAGGAAGCTGGAGAACCTGGAGAGAACCCACGCTGCACGGGGAGAACATGCAAACTCCACGCAGAAAGATCCCAGGTGTCCTCACAAACCGGCGACCGTCTCGCTGCGAGGCGACCGTTCTAACCAGCGAGCCATGAATGGTAGCCGTGAAGGACATAAATCAAAGCACTGGACAAAATAAACTGGATAATAGTGCTGAATTAAATGGCTTTAGAGACATTTTCCTTTTACGGTGATGCCAGGGGGATCACTAAAGTCAGTAGGAGTTATCCTCTGGGTGCCATGACTGTAAAGATTTCATTGCAGTCCCTCCAGTATATGCTGAGATATTGAAGTCAGGCTCAGTGCATTGAATTCTTTCCTTTCTGTCTTTTAACTTCACCACCCAAGAGCTTAACTGTGTGTTTACAGTGTCCCAGAACCCTGCAGATTAATAACCTCACAGCATCCACAGCTTCATGGTTTTCTCTTTCATGTGTGTCTCTCTGCAGGTCCTTCAAGCCGGACTTCGTCCTGATCCGCCAGCACGCCTACAGCATGATTCCCGGCGAGGACTTCCGGAACCTCGTGATCGGGCTGCATTTCGGCGGCGTCCCGAGCATCAACTCCCTCTTCTCCATCTACAACTTCTGCAGCAAACCTTGGGTGGTAAGCCACCTTTAACGGCTCTCTTTGCTCTACTTTAACCCACACCGAGGCGCTCCCCGGCCGAGCGGCTGCCTCCGACTGATTTATTTGGGCCGTTAAACGGAGCTGTAACACCTGCGTCTGCAGCCGGCCTCCAACACCACGTGTTATTAGTCACTCTGCGCCGAGGGAAGCGACAGAACTGCAGCGAAAAGAGTTCATAATTGCAGTCTTGTCACCTGCAGTCTGGGTTTAAAGATGACACATAATTTGCTGAACAAAGGCCCTCCTTCTCCACGTATTTACAGCTCGGTTCGCTGTTTTTCAAAGCATACCACAAGCGTGAAAGCAAAACGAAGACCTGTGGGTCGGTTGCCAGCGATGCGCATTGCATCTCTGGATTTATGTCGTTGTAAATAACAGTAAATAGCAATGCTTCTTTTTATAGGCGTCGTTTTGCGCACAATTACACGAGCGGCATTTCTAGCAGAACATTGCAGAGGATAGTATGCAGCGACAATGTCAAACCTACGTCAACCCACATCTGAATGCAACTAGTTGAAAACCCTCTGAACTCACAGCAGCTTTTGGGCGTTTCTTTGCTCCTGTCACATTTTTACTCACTCTGGGCTCATTTGTCCCTGTAATACAAAGTCCTGCACCTCAACAGAACAACCATGACTGGAAGGAGAGAGGACTCAGAAACGTCTTTTGCGGCATGTAATGAAGCTAGAATGCCATAAATCTTAGCAACATGTTTTTCCAAGTGCCAAAAGGTGTTGACTATACTGGAAAAAACTTATGGCGAGTCAATACACAGTAGAACTTTTGCTGCTTGCATTTTGAACACTGCCTGCAGTTCATCTGAGTCACTAATGGCTTCATTGTTATGATTGGGAGTGCAGATTTTTTTTTGGTTTATACAGAATTTGGCAAAAGCAAATTCTGTATTTTTGGCAAATTTAAACACGATAGTTTTAATAAGTTTTCTGATGGAATAGCCCCCCACAGATGAGTAGTTCAAGGACAATCGGAGACTTGGAAATCCACAGATTTTGTCAGATAAATGGTATAATTCACACTTCTTTTTTTAATTTTTTATTTACAGCCACATACATTTCAAGCCTACTGGTACATTTTGAGATTAAAACATTAAAATGAAATTGCAGCAATTTTTTGGAGATTTTTTGGTTCCACATTTGTCTCCTGACTGCTCTGAAAAAACAAAAAATACCCTGAATTTTTGTCATGTGACTGTTGGTCCCACCTGAGTCACTAATGGCTTCATTGTTATGATTGAGATAGCAGATTTTTTTTTTTTTTTACATAATATGGCTAAAGGAAACCATGTGTTTTTGGCAAATTTAAACACAATAGATTTGGTTAAATTTTCTGATGGAATAGCCCTCCACAGATGAGTAGTTCAAGGACAATCGGAGACTTGGAAATCCACAGATTTTGTCAGATAAATAGTGTAATTAACACTTTTTAAAATTGTTTTTTGTAAGCAACATACATTTCAAGCCTACTGCCACATTCTGAGATTACAACAATAAAATGAAATTGGAGCAATTTCTTGGCATTTTTTTGGTTCCACATTTGTCTCCTTGCTGCTCTGAAAAAACAAAAAATACCCTTAATTTTTGTGGCATGATTGTTGCTCCCAGTTGACTCACTGATGGCTTCACAGTTGCCTTAAGGAGTCCAGAATTTTTTGTTTTTTGCAGAATCTTGCTGATGCCAATGGATTGATCTTTGTCATTTTTTAAAATAAAGTCATTCTACTGAAATATCAGGATTTTAAGCTAAGATTTCCGATGAGTCATTTGAGGACCATCCGGAAGTTAAAAATCAGACAACTCCTTCTGTCTTTACAGTGTCTTACTCTGATAAATGTTGTAATTTTAGCAATTTCTTTTGAAGCTGATGGAGTCCAGAGGGTTAACCGAAGCCGATGAGGCGGCGTAATATAAATATTAGCTAATGGATTCTTTGGGAACAACAGGTGTTCGGGCCCACACAGTCAGAGTTGTGTCTGTACTGTACCAGAACATATTTTATAAGCATCTAAAAGGGTCAGACAAAAAAAAAAAAAAACCCCAACATACCATCCGAGTCCCAGATGTTGAGTTCGACTCCGGCGTCCTCTGGTTATAAATGTGAGCACAGGTGTAGCTTCTAAAAGCCTCCTTCTAACCCCTCCTGCCCAAATAATGACGTCCGACTTGTTTATTTCTTCTTGCAGTTTTCTCAGATGATTAAGCTCTACCACTCCCTCGGCCCGGAGAAATTCCCCCTGAACGAACAGACCTTCTATCCCAACCACACGCAGATGGTGAGTGCCTCGCAGATATTATTCTTTCTTTTAAACAGTTCGGAGAGAGAAAAAAGAAAAAATCACCAAAGACCACCTGTGTCCCGTTTTTTTCCATTAAATCTTTATTATAAAAATATAAAACACAGAAATTAAGTCAAACATTTCTATAACCCAGACAAGGAAACACCCCCCCACCCACCCACACAGTTCAGGAATCAGTGTTTAAACACAGACTGTACACAGCTTCCTTGATTGGATTTCTTATTTTTTTCTTTTTTTTTTGTCATCATTTGTGTTTTCAAAGGATCAAGCTTGACCGAGTGTTTCTGTGTTAAGCAGACAGTATATTTACACCAACATGAACCACAGAAATAATGACGCAGAAACGCCCCGGCTGGAGGAAACGGCCTCGTCGTCACGACATTAGATGCTGTGGAAAACTGGTTTGCATTGTTCTTAAACCGAATTCAGCAGATGGATTTATAAAAGTGGTCGAAACATTTTTATTAAAAAAAATGGGAAATACTTATTTTTTCTCATGTTGGAATTAAAGTGATAAAATTTAAAGACATTCTGGAAAATATAAGCTTTAAAATCAAAACCTCCAAGACTCCTCGTATGTAACTGTAAGTCGATTTTACACGAACTGGAAGCTAAGCTAAGTGGCTGCTGTCTCAAGCTTCATATTTAGACACGAGTGGGGACAAGTTTCATATCTAACGATGAATAAGAAGGTAAAAAAAGCATATTTATCACAAATTTGTGACATATTTATGCTGGGGGCTGTTGAAGTTAAGGCGATATTATTCTCACTTTAATGCTGTTACAAATAAATCTTGCAGATAAGGAAGATTTTATTCCTATTTTAATGTTTATTGTTGTATAAATTTATAGTTAGACCTTTCATTTGAGGTCTATTCCAGCTAGTGCTGACTGGGGATTCACTTAATCATCAGCCAAGCACAGCAGTAATCAATCATCCAAGTTGCGAAGTTACGCAGCAAACAAGTAGCCTAAAATCGTTAATAACCTGTATTATTCTCTTAAGAGCGATTTTATATCCATGATGTCAACAAATACGGTTGCAGCAACTTTATTGGTCCAGCAAATCTCAGTATTTTTAGTACGTTTTATGCAGCTGCCCTTATGGACGGTCAGCGAACACACCTGTAACTCCGTTTCTCCAAACAGTAAGAGGCTCCACCTGGTGGCAAAATCAGGTACTACAGCAAATCTACAATACAGTTAAACTGCTTGTCGTCTTCTATCTTCTCAGTTCATGTAGTTTTGCTAGAATAAACTATTAATTCATTCAATTAACAATTAATCATTAACATGTCGTAGACGCTCAAATTTTATGTCACGCCGACCTTCGCCTAATTGGTGGAGTTTACAACACGCCTTAGAGCCAATTATACGACAATAATACGACAGTTTCGTTTCATACTGATGAACTGCTTTGACCATCAAGAGGACACAATACAGATCTAATGTGGTGACATGCACCAAATTTTGATTAATCGCATTTAACTACAAATTGTCAGACTCTAACCCCACGTTGGTCGTCAAACCAACTCGGTCAAAGCTCTTTATTCTCTTTCAGAATGAGTGACGAAGAGGCCGTTTCTCCGTTTGAGGCGACTCCGTGTCCGTTAATGGAATGGACTGAAGGGAAATAAGAAAAAAAAAAAACCCTAGATAGGAACAGGTGAAGAAGAATGAATTTAGTGACAATATTGTTACTTTCATTTATATATATAATGTCCATTTCAAATAGTTAAATACAAAAGATTGAATATACACATACAAAATATCTCATATCTCTCTGAAACCTCTGCTTGTTCTGCACTTTTATTGGATTGGTAAAGAGTACCAGTCGGGGGGAAACTATGATCAAGCAAAAAAAAAAAAAAGTACCATAATATCTAACTTGCAGATGCTGGTCAGTTTAACATGCTGCGCTGGTTTTTACAATGTATTTTGGCCTGTTTGTATATATATATATATTTATATATATATATATTCTCTTCGGCACATCATGTATAACACGGTTAATCCAATAAACATGAATAAATACATACATGTATTACAGAGGTTTCAGCTGAGTTGATTTCTGTAGCTTATGTTATATACAGCAAAAAATAAAATATCACTTCTCTCTGCAAGAAAAAGAGCTCTTCCCAGCGTTGGCACTGCGTCGTTTCTTTGTTTTTTTTAAAGTTTGTTTGTTTTCTCAGTGCACAACGTAAAGGACGGCGTTTGTGGCGCAACTGCAAAATGAGTTACGCCGCAAACGTTCAAGGGGGAAGCAGAGATTCTACCACCATAAAAGACACGTTACAGTAAAAAACTGTGAATCCATGTGTACTTCACTGTGAAACAATACCGTTTTCAGAAGCCCAATAAGAGGTTTAAAATTTCACCGATCACACCTCGCATTGTTGGCACGAAATCTGGATTTGGAAAAGGTTATTGGCTGCGTTCTGTACTTTAAATTTTTAGTTTTCAGAGTCCTCGCTTGCCTGATAATACACCAGAGGTTGATCAAAGTCTTATACGTCTTATTGGCCCCGTTGTGTCTTTGCCACCTTTTCAACACCACTGAACCATAAAGAGACAGCTCGGTAGCGTAGGGGAGGGAAAACATCATAGATTTACAGGGTGATCTGTACAACAACAACAAAAAAAGGTATTGTTTTCTATCCGAAGTGCTACGAACAGGCACTGTAATTGATTTTTTTCTTTTTTTTTTCTTTTTTTTGCCCCTTTTGTTTGGTAAAGTGGGCGCTCACCCAGGCCAGCGAGCATCGAAGAGTCCCGTGATTCTCTAAAAAGTGATCGGGGCGGATGGAGGGACGGATGGGGGGGGGGGGGGGGTTTGGGGTTGGTGGTGGGTTCAGGGGTCGGTGGCGTTGATGGTGGTTTTATCGCGGGCGGTCATGCCTCGGTACCAGCTGCAGTAGCCCTCCTTCTGCTGGATGCAGGCGTAGTGCCGGGACTGGTAGCCGGGGTAGCCGAAGTGGGACAGCATGTCCGTCCATAGGCACTCGTTCTTTGAGGTGACGAAGCAGGGCAGGTAGTGGCAGGGCTTAATCTACAGAGACAGAAGCGACACTAAAGATGTAGCCATGAAGCAGGAAACCAAACTGTGTGGCGGCAAACACTCGTGTAGACTCACTGTTTTGTTCACGTGTTTCTTTAAAGTGATGGATACTCTTTGAAATATGTTGGGAGAAATCCAAGTTTTGGGTGAGAATTAGATCACAAGTTTGATAGCACTCTCATGTCTGGACCACTAATAGGAATCTAGAGCCAACAGGTGAGTCACTGAAGGAAAACGGTGACAGTGGTTTAGTTTAGCAGTTCTTTTATTTGTGAACTGTTGGGTTCTTGTGTTGTTCTCTTTATAGCTCCGGAGAGAGCTCCGTGCTCACAGTTCAAGTGAGTCCACATGTAGCCGACAGATGTGAGAGTGGTATCAATTGTTTTCATCTAAATCTCAGCAGGAATACTTTCCAAGATGAAAGATGTTCCTTTAACGCTGCTTAACCCTCTGCACCCCAGAGCCTCAAGGCGGGTTTGAAATGTACGTCATCTTTTTTAAAAAATAATTTAAAAAATCGCCACAATTACACGATTTATTAGAGATCTAACAAAAATAGAAAACAAAAGTTGGATTCTCAACTTTCTGATTTGGGAAAATTAACCACAATTAAGTGTAAAATTGTCATATTTTATGAAAATGACTTTGTTCTACATGTTTTATTTGAAAAATTCTAGCAAATCATTTTAATTAAAAAAAATGTATTCAGGAAAAAAAATACTTTAAATAAATGATTGCATTAAACCAAATTCTATAAAAAACTAAAAATTCAACACCTCTCTGAGCAACAGATAAGCCATGAATGATTCAGCTGTGACCAACAGTCATTTTACTAAAATTCTGGGACTTTTTGGAAAAACTGCAGAGAGGTTTTTCCATTTTTAGAAACAAGAATGCCAAAAAAATCCAACTTTTTCTTTGTGCATGATTAATGACATAACAGCTTTGTCACTTGACATTATTGAGTTCTCTCTGCTTTTAGTTATGGTTTGTCTTTTCCCATAGAGCTGCAGGACTTGGTGTTGCAGTTGAAAAATGAGCCCACAGTGAGTAAAAACGCCCAGAAGCTGCTCGGAGTTCAGAGGGTTAAAGTGATCTTATTGTTGTACTTTGACAACAGTGAGTCTACAGTGCAGAAGTTTGTGCAACTAGGCCAAAGTAGAATTAGCTGAATGACAATTATCATATGAAAAAAAATTAAATAAATCGGATCGGTGATGATTGAAACAGTGAAGGGGGAACATGCACTTAGTGAAACATCCAACATGTGCGCTTAGATCTCAGCTCTACTGCTTTTCAGCTCTCAGCAGATTAATAGATCAGGTGTAAAAGGGAGAAGAAAAAAAACAGGTTTTTAAATTCCTAAGCACAAAACCATTAAGCTGGCATTCTGTGAAACATTCAATGAACTTCAGCCGCCTTCCCGAAGCCGTGAAGTTTGTGCAGTTTCTTCAGAATTCGGTTAAGATCTCCCGCTCGCGCGTCACTACGCCAGGTGCTCTGACAAAAAGCAGCTTCACGCATGAATGTACGGCAGGAAGATTCGCACGAGCCACTCGGAGAGGTGACGATCGGAAACGCTGCGTTTTTAGTGACTCATCGGCTGCAAAGAGCTGCACTTATCTGGATCTGAATGCAAATTCAATTAGAACATTTAGAGGGCACACTTCCCATTTTGGGCATTTTTTTTTTTTTGTTATTCAAGCCCGGAGAGTGTGTCCTCCACGGTTCAGAGACGTTCGACGTGGCTTCCTGGTTTGAGTGGTTTTAATGATCTGTGGAGAATAGTTTTCTGACTGGTGCAACACGCTCGCTGCCTCTCAGCGCTGTAAATCATCGTTTGTGCAGGAATGCGGAGTGTGTTTAATAAGTGTGATGATGTTTATGCCTGCCTGCGCTCACCGACTCTCGCTCTGAAGCCTCGCTTGATCGATGGGCCTCTCCGGATGCCTCTGGGCTGCTGCCACGTTCGCTCCGACCACAGTTTACAGGCTCTGGCCCGCATTGGGAACAAATAGGGCTCTCTGCTAATCCACTTATACTGATAGGGGCTGAGTGTGTTAGCAGATGTCCGGGACACTGCTGTACAGTAGGACGTTTATGAGGCGGGTCAGCAGCTGCACAGCGGCAGGCTACATGCTCGAGTCACATGAAACTGGGAATGAAAACTTGAGCCGATTCCAGATTTGTTACTTAATAATTCCCAGTGATAGTAGTAAAACTTGTTTTTTTTCCTCCGTCTCTGTCTCCGCTGAACATCCGTGATGCTTAATAGTGGAAATTAAGAGTCTAAAAAGGAGTTCATATTTCACTTCTAATAAAAATAACATCTCCATTTGCTGGCTTGGAGCAGCTAAAACAGCCTGAACTGATTTGACCCTTCACACACCATGAATAATGACACGTTTCCTTCCCCCCTACTGGTCGACCAGCAGTTTCATGTTCAGTTTTTTGCAAAAAATCCTCTTGGTCCTCCTCCTCCCGCCATCTTTCCCGTCCTTGTCGGCCAGAGGCAGTCTGTCCTCACTCACCCTGCAGTTGCAGCCCAGCTGGTAGCGGTGGTTGATGCCTTTCTTCTGGGCCAGCGACAGACGCTCCCACCGCTCGTTGAAGTTGCACAGCCCCGTGTAAACCTTGCCGTCGTACACTCGGCCTGCAGGAGCAAATGAGAAAAATCCATGAGCTGTGTTTGGGAATGCATGTCTGACGTGGGCCCTTGGAGGCTCTGCAGTGTTGAAGAGATTTTTAAACTTTTTTCTCATGGTTTTGAACCTGTTTCAGGACTAAAATAGTGTCCGTCTTCCCTAGAAAGTTGTCTCTGGAGTGTGTAAATCTGAAAATCCTGGCTTAGCAGAGCTTTGTAGAAACGTCATATCACTGACAAAACAGGAGAAATCATAACAAGAAAACAATAATGCGACTCTAAAATGTTGGTTCCATATGGTGAAAATCTGTTTTAGTGTGTTTTGTGGTTGTTATAATCCTGGATACCTCAAGCTGCTACGTTTCAACAGTTAGTTGTTGAGCTAAAACTTTGTATAATCCTGCCCCCTTACTGCTGCTGCTGCTTGCTCACAGTCCACCAGTTTTATTATCACCTCTGCTAACTCTAAAATGTCTCAGCTTCAAGCAAAACACACCAAACGTTCTGCTGTTGGCTGCAAGAGTAAACACAAGCGCCTCAATGCACTCCCAGCATCTGAGGAACTGATTATCTATAGGATTACTTATCACAACAGCAGGAAAATCTTTGGTGTTGGCTAATTTGGCTAACGTTAGCATTACCTTAACACCGACTGTGGAAACTTTAGGACCCATTTGACACCAATCAGATCTTCTCTCCTGCTCTCTGTGCTCACATTTACTGCATAATACAGACGAATTCCCGTTAAAGCTGTTCGCATTTACACATTTTTCCATTTCTGTTGTCAGACTGAGGAAACGCAGCCAATTAAGGCTAAATGTTAAACACATGAGTTAAAAATAAACAGCTGTGTGACATCTGTATTTCATAGAATTTGGCGACATCAGGGGGAAAAAAAATACATAATAAGGATAAATTTGTTTTGGCGTCACACTCATTACTTCCATAATGAGCCCTGCTATTTTAACTTTCTTTTTTATCATTTTGAATTGTCCAATTTAAATCCACAGTTTTCTACTTTAATATCCAAACCTCTGTTGACATTTCCTGCTGTGCTGCATTAAACAATGACGCACAGTTTGGCAAAATAAAATTATTTTGCTCGTTGTCTGACTAATCGGCCTCCGAGAATCTAATCGCTTTATTCGCTTTAATGTAATTTGCAGTCACTTGATCACAGTTAGCGGCTGTTGTCTAACTTTGCAAAAAGTTTAATGCTCAAAGAACCGTCACGGAGAATGCACGCATGCTATTTCATCATTCGCCTAATTTAATAATCTGGCCCATGTAACACGCGATACTGTAAACACGGCGCTCCGTTGTTTATCTTCGGTAAGACAATCCCGTACAGTAAGCCCGTATTAAACCAACACCCCTATTTCTGAATGCCCAAAGGTCAGCAGACGCCTATTTTTAGCTCTTGCAGCTCCTGAGACAGGTGCACCACCAACGCCACGATGTGTCACCGCGTGTCTCCTTCACGGTGTTGTCACCACGTGGGAATTTGTCAGCTCACAAATATGCGCTTCTTTGACCCCCCGTGAACCTCCCGCTCGGCCCGCATCCCTCCCAGATTACTGGCGGGCTTATTACATGGTGTTGAGTGTGTGACATGCTCCTAAAATACTAATCAGGGCCCGGAGCACTCGAGGCTTGATCAAAGGGAATCAACCGGGGCCCTCGTTGCGTTTAAATTGCAGCCCCCCGATCATATGCTGGACTTATTATAGACGCCCTGAGAGCAGCGAAAGACACCGGTGATGTCACTCGCACCCCGAGCCGGGTAAACATAGCCGCCGCTGCCTGGCAACGCCGCCTCGTTGGCCTGCACTTACAGTATTTACAGGTCGGGACTTAGCGACAGTTATACACACCGAGCGCTGCAGGGTCCAAAGTAAACTGCACCTCCGTTGGAAATAGCAACTCATAAAATGCCACCGCTGGAAAACGCCAGTCGCTTCCTGCTTGGCTGTTAATTACAAGTTGTGAGAAAAGAGAGAAAAATCTGATGTTTCTGGCCCGAGAACCTAAAAAAAACTAGTGCACAAAACAATAAAAGGCCCCTTGCTTTGCCTCCGAGTGCACAGTGGCAAACGGGAGGTTATAAATAGTGGGAAAGTTTGTGTCACAGGACAAATGAATAAGTCCTTGGGGTGGTGGGAGGAGGGAGGTAGAGCGTCGGGCCAAACAAGCTTGTGAGGCTGAAAGAGCCTCTGAGAGGGAACAAGTTTACGCTGGCAGCAGAACGCTAACGAGAACATTTTCAGGCGGCTCGCTGGTGGAAGTGGATTTTGTTTCGGGAGTCGTGTTGTGTAACTTGGTCGCAATAAGCTGAGTTTATAACACTCTGGAGCCTTGTTGGTCCGATGTGACCGGTAGCTTACAGTGGCTCATGCTTTTATGTGAGCTTTGACTGTATGAAGTGAGCGCTACTTTTACCTTGACTCGCTTTAGGGACCACTGCAGGAAGTAGGTTACACATTAAACTCTAATTTACACTGTGAGAGTTTGTATTATGTCTTTTTCTAAATCATTTTTTGGTATACTTAAAAAAAAAAATGTTTTTGTAATATGCAGACTGCTCCTGCAACCTTAAGGACCGATAAAGTACTGGATTTATCTATCTAGCTATCCAAAATCTATCCAAATCTTTTTTTTAAATCAAACAAATGATGCATTTTATCTGAGCCACAAACTGTAAAAACTAAAAAAATCTCAGCATTTTTACCTTTTTGGCAGTTCTTAAACTTATCATGTGTGACTTTCACTTTTCTCTGGAAAATTAACCAAATCTAGGCTTAAAATTGTGATATTTCATCTAAATTATCTTGTTCTATATGTCTCATTTTAAAAATCAGCACAAAAAAATCCTGTGCACAAACCAGATTCTGCAAAAAATAAAAAAAATCTGCACTTTTCAGGACAACCGTGAAGCCACAAGTGACTCAACTACGACCAACAGTCGTTCAACAAAAATTCAGGGAATTTTCGGCTGAACTGTAGGCAGTGTTTACGAAGCATATTTAAGAGTAAAGTATGAAAACAAATGAGAATGTAAGTCGTTAGATTATCTACAAGAGTCACCAATTTTCACCTGTGTGCACTTGCTAAAATATTGTTCATGTTGAGTTATTTTTTTTCAATTTAAACAAAATGTATTTAAATGCATGTTTAATGAAATTTAACTTTCGTTTTTCTTATTCAGTGTTTTATAACAATGTCACACTGCACATGAGACGTTTCTGAGCTCTCTCTACTTCTAGTCGTGGTCGTGCTGCTTCCATAGAGGTGCAGGACTTTACATTGCAGTGAGAACTGATCCCACAGTGAGTAAACACGTGACAGCGGCATAAAACAAACAGAAACCGCTTCAGAGTTTTAGCAGAGATCCATTCTGCTGCATACAGACCAACAGTAAAGCAACATTCAAGGATGCATGACCTGGAAACGGTCCGACAGCTCACCTGTGATCAGATACTGGTACTTGTTGATTTCAAACTTGACGCCGCACAAACTCTCGGAGGCGTCCGTGTAAATGTGCTGCACGTGCTGGACTTTGTCGAACCCTTTGTACATCTGTAAGACATGAGAATAGAACATTTGATTAAATAAACTGGAAGCGTTGTATTCGTCAGCCTGGCACCGCAGCGATTTCTTAACCGCTGCACATAAATAACGAGGAATGGAAATGGCTTCATCAGATAACGTTTCTCGAGGAATGCCTCGGGGGAGAAGCAGTATTAGGCTCTGCCCTTAACTAAATCACAGATAACATGGTTACGTTGTGTAATTTGCTCCGACTTTGATGCTGTTTTGGCAAGGTCACCGCTGAGCCGTGGGCACCGGCTCCTTCCATTCAGCTCAGGTATGCACAACCCAAAGTCGGTATTTATTCTGAGAACTGTGGGTTTTTTTCAGAGTAATTTATTTGTCTGGGAACAACAGGAAATCCCTGTTTAGATGCGTCGCTCCTAGAAAAGCAGAACAAGCCGTTGCTTAAGCCAGAAACTGCGCAGCTTTGGGAACGCCGGAGGCATTCGTCTCATAGGATTTGTTGAAATTTTGGAGGGAATTGCGTTCTTTCCAAAGGAAAAACCGCTGTTTGCAAACCGGCGGGCCGTGGTACAAGTAAATAACCGGAGAGGTGCAAAGGTCACATCTAATGCCCGGGGATAATCCTGGCGGTGATGATTGCTGTGCTCCACCAACAAGAGGCCACTTAATGCTTTTGTTACAAACTGGGATTGTACTGGTCGCAGTGCATGACTGTGTTGGATTGTTTGCACTCAGAGCGAGGAGTTTGGTTGAGCTGTAATGCCCGTAAGCCCGCTAATCCTCCGGCCTGGCTCCTGTCTGAGCAGCAGGCCGATGTCAGCATCTGTCAGAAATATGCAGCGTTATGTAAGAATGTAGAGGAAGTGAAGAACGGGCTTTCAGGCTAAGTTCCCCCCGCTGCTTTTCAGCAGCTGAGGGGGCGGAGACAGCAGCAAACACTTACATTATACAGTTTGTATTCGGTTGTGGCCTCCTGTGCATTTAAATAGGAAGCCGAAGAGTTGACTTGAATGCAAGACGATAATAAAGGAAGATTTTGAGGATATTACTGTTAAAAAATAACCCATTAAATTAGAGGCAATAACCAATACAAAAAAACGAAGATGCAAACTTACAGCCAGAAAACATCACATGTGATTTAAAGACTTTGTTGATTAATGTGTCTGCAGCAGAAGTGGCTCCAGTTTCAGGACCACACTTCCAGGACCCTTGTTTCTGGCGACTGACTCGGCTAACCAGCTTGTATTTAAACAAAGCCTGCATGAATGTGAATCACGTTTTGTTTGTTTAACACTAGAGGCTCTTCTGATGTCTTCAGCCGGACAGAACAGCTAGCGTGAGTAAGTCTTTAGTCATCTTTTAGCTAATGATAGCTCGCCGCAAGACAAGCTGCTCGCTTAAGCCTGAGGAGATGATAAAAACCTGTTGAAGTGATTTAATATCTGTCAGCGGCAATAAATCAGCAGTGACCTCAAGTACAAATGCTTGTTTAATACTCATTGTTTCATTAAAATAAACCTTTGGGTGGGGAGGAATAGACCTTTAAAACTATTAAGTACTTGGACATGAAGTCTTGGGTGGAGTGTATCTGTAAACCCGTAATTTGTTAGTTAGAAGGTGCTATTTTGGGTGGAAGAAGCCTTTAAAACTACAAGTACCTCGACAAAAAGTAGTCGTTTGGCCAGAATAAACCTTAAGAGCTATAATTCTTTCAACAGAAAGTTGTATTTTGCCCGGAATAAACCTTAAAAACTTAAATTACTTGACAAAAAGTAGTATTTTGAGTGGAATAAACCTTTACAATTCCAATTTCTTGGATAAAAAGTCGTATTTTGGGTGGAGTTGTGCACTTTAGACATCTTCCAGTTGTGTAGGTCTTGCTGTCACAAAAATTAAGGGTTCTAATAATATTGCGACGCACAGCATGAGTTCACGAATCATGGAGTCTAAAAACTTAAAAATAATTGTAGTTTTTAACATCATTACCCACTACATATTCTGAGTTTAATGTCAGTTTGCTGACTGTTTCCTCTTTCCTCCTTTACCTCCAAGAGAGAAAAAGCACATTTCTTTGCTTTTATGCAGACGACTTTAATCTAAATATGCTAAATACGGAGCGTGAAATACGGGTGCCATTAGCTTAGCTTCGCTTAGCTGAAGACTTAAAGGTGTTGGTTGGTTTCCCCATGCTTCCAACGTGCTGCTGAGCTAAACCGTACGAGCTAATTATTAAGTTAGGCTAGCTTAGCTTACCATAGAAGCTGAGAGCAGCTGTGGGAACAGCTAGCTAGCATATTAAAACTGATATTTTTTCCACTTATAAAGCCATAGCTTGTTTGTTTTATGGGCTAAACTGGGCTAGCTGTTCTGCCCTTCGTCCAGTCTTTATGCTAAGCTAGGCTAACCATACTTGTTCTAGCTTCTTATTTAAGTCACACGCAAGAGGCTGGTATTGATCTTCTCATCTGAGTCTTTGCAAGAAACGCAGAAAATGTGTTGAAGCAAGTTTTACTGCGGGTATTTTACAGATTAAAGCGATTCGGCCTCAATGTTCTCACCTTGGTCTGCTTCACGGTGAAGCGCATCGTCCCAAACGGTCCGTCTCTCAGCAGCTTCTTGCCCACAACTTTGGCCCGAATCACTGTGAAGAAAAGAAACATTCCTTTTAGCACTCAGGTTCGAGCTTTCCATTCCAATCCATCAAATAGCTCATCGCCTCGGCCAGTAGGAGGCATTGCCCCTGATAAATGCCATTTCAGGACCAGGTTGGCACCGCGGTTAATCCGTTTATCCGATTTTCTGCATTGCTGCATTGTTTGCCAAGGAGGGCCGATGGGGGAGAAAATCACTGAAGGGACTTTGGAGTCTGATGCAGAAATTAGGGGGGAAAGAGTAAAAGAGGCAGTTCCAAGTATTATAAAACCATAAAACCATGCGGATCTGCGGCTCAGATCGGATTTTCTTCGATGGCCGCGCATAGCAACGTGCAACAAACACCAGAACATCGCTCTTTAACTCTTTCACCACTTGTCGTTAGTATTGAGGTCAGCAGAGGAAAAAATGTGACTGCAATCTGATTTCTGTTGATTTAAAACAAAAAAAAACTAATGTATGCGTCTCTTCTGGACTCTAAACCCCACAAATTTACGTTTTTGTTTATAAAATCACCAAAATTACACAATTAGTCACAGCTAGAAACTATAGAAGCTGAAAAAATCTGTAGATTTTCAGCTTTCCAGAAGTCTTTAAACTACTCAACTGTGACGTGCTGCTCCATCAGGAAAAATATGCCACATCCAAGCTTAAAATCATATTTTATTAAATTCACTTTATTCCTTTTTAAAATTCCTTTAAAAATAAACAGTTTGCAGTAACCAGGTTCTGTAAAAAACAAAAAATTCTGTACTCTTTAGCGAAAAAGTGAAGCCATTAGTGGCTCAGGTGCGACGAACAGTCACATGACAAAAATTCAAGAATTTTCAGCTGAACTGCAGGCAGTGTTCACACAGAGCAGATAGGAAGTGTAAAAACAAATGAAGTACAAGGTATGAAGAGGCACCATTTTTCAGTATTAGTACCTGTTCTTTTTTTCTTTTCTTTTCTTTTTTTAAATAAGCAAAATGACACTATATCAAATTATCAGTTTTTTTGTTGTTGTTGTTTTGCTTTTTAAAATGCACAAATTACACCATAAATTAGAAGCAGAAACTGTAAAAAATAGAAAAAGAAATTAGATTTTCAACTTTCTGATGGTTTTTTCCATATTTTTTCCAGTATTGGTAACACCTGTAGGCACTTTAAGAAACATTTTACAAGGTAATTTAACGTTATTTCAATTTTTGTAAATTAAATAATCAAAAAATTACAGCTTTTGTTTTGTCTTTTTTATGATTTCTGGCCTTATACCGTTGTTAGTTTGCACGAAAGAGATTTTTAAGTTTCCTCTCCTTCTAGCTGTGGTTGTGCTGTTTCCATAGAGGTGCAGGACTTTATATTGCAGTAAAAAATAAGTAAAACTGTGACTGAAGCAACAAAAAAAAACCCACTCCCAGACGCTGCTTGGGGTTCAGAGAGTTAAACAGTTCTATATTGGGATCAGGGCTCAAAAAAGATCTTATCCGCGTGCAGGACCCTCATGTAAACGTGGGCCAGGTGAAAACGCCCGGCGGTGACTTTGATTTGTTTGCTTTCGCTGCTGTTCCATTGAGGGGGGCTCACAGTGGAGCACCGAGCGCAGGAACAAGCTGCTGGATGAGGCCCGAGCGGAGCTGCGGGACCCTCATGATCGCTCAAATCCTCTGAAGTTCACCTGCTGCCCGAAAGCCGAGCGGCCGCAGACACAACTAACGCCGGTCATGTTTGTTATCTTCCCCCCGGTGGAATTTCCTTCCCACATTCTTTGGGGGCTCACATTCCCCAGAAAGGAAAAAAAAAAAGAAGTGAGCAGGCTCTCATTCTTATTTAACTGGAGGAAGAAATGAGGCATCTTCTGTCCGGTCGTCTTCGAGGGCAGATGGAAATTGGGCATAAAAATACGAGTCAAACAGGAAGCAGCTCCAGCGCGGCCACCCAAAAGTGGTGACCGCAGATTTATTTTGGACACAAAGTCCCCGATTTGAACCCAGAGTTTATTTAACTGACCCCAAAAGTCTTATTTTGAGCCAATGTGAACTGATTAAAGAAACGAGCAAAGCAAGAGAAATGCAGCATACTTGAGTTAGTTTTCTTTAATTTGGTGCATTTGAGGAATGTTTCTGACCATTTGTGGATGTTCTAAAAATGGAAAAATAGTTATTTCCAATTCTGACCTTGATATAAAGACAATGGGACCAGTTAAACACCTAGAACAGTTCTTATATACAGAAACCAGCTGAACCTCAGGTAGTTTCTAGGTGTTTTTTTCCTGTCACATTTTTTCTCGTTATGGGTTCATTTTTCTCTGCAATATAAAGTCCAGCACCTCTATGGAAACAGAACAACCATGCCTAGAAGTAGAAAGAATAAAAAAATGTCTTTTGTGCAGTATGACACAGTTATAATGCCATAAATCATAAGAAAAGAAAAAATTAGATCTGAATTTTTTGGTTTTTTTTTTTTCCAAAATTTGAAAAGGTTTCCATTTAGGTTTGCAACATTTTTACACATGCCCACAGGTGTTATCAACACTAGAAAAAAATGTGGTGACTCTACATGCTAAAGATATTTCACTACTTACATTTTAGTGCAGTCTTTCACACTTGTTGCCTATCTGCTCTATGTACACACATGCTGCAGTTCAGCCAAAAACTCCCAGAATTTTTGTCACATGACTGTTGGTCTCACCTGAGTCGCTCATGGCTTTCTGGTTGCGCCAACGAGTGCAGAATTTTTATTTTTCTTCAGAATCTGGTTTGAGCAAATTGTTTCTTTTTTGGTGATTTTTGAATTAATAACGTAGCATAAAGTGACTCTTAAAAATAGCCTGATTTTAGAATTATGTGCACTTCAAGGACTGTTGGAAAGTGGAAAATTCTTTCTGTTTTTACATTTTCTGGCTCTGAAAAATTGTGTCATTTAGGGGATTTTATATTAAAGATATAGTGCCTTTCAGACTCATGTTCCACTAAAGGTTCCCGGTGAATCAAAGCTGTCACTATTTTAAATTCACGCTGTTGTTAAAGAATATACATTTAAACCTTTTATATTGTCACTCAAGTGTAGCAGTGAAAGCACCACGAGGGAAGTCAGTTCTGAAGTATAGTTTAGGAAAAGGGTTTTTTATTTTTAGACATATATTCAAACAAATTTTACCTTTCATTCATTTCAATTCAGTCTTTTCTAGTAAAAGCCTCATTCAGCGGCAGCCTTTCAGCTTCAGAAAGCAGCACTACCGAGCCGCAAAACGCTGCAAACGCTTTCAAACCTCTTGTGAAGTGGCTCTTTTCCTCCTCGACAGAGCTCATTGGAGATTTTTTTTTTTATTCCACCTGCCAGCTTTCTGTTGTCACTGACTGACTTTCACTGACAGCTCCACAAAAAAAAAAAAAGGGAAAGCGGAGTCCTTTCAGGAGGAGCGTCCAGACCCCCCGCCTGCCCTCCGCTTTCTGACCCTCCACAATAACCTGCTGCAGAACATTTGATCCATTAATCTGTCAGCTCGTTTAATATGAACCTGAGAGCGCCATTACGTGATCGACCTCTGCTAAATGCGCCCAAATGCCGTTTGACAGACGCTGCAATTACAGCAGAACCGGGCCGCAATTACGCAGGAATGTGCAGATACAACAGGATACTCTCGCCTCGGTTAAACACACCGCCGCTGTCGCTATTTTCAAGCGTCACCCCGAAACCTAGTTTCCTCCTCTGCCCTGACCTCAAAACCAGCCCCGAGGGGGGGAAACAACTGCTGGCGTTTGAAGCGCCACAGGTCAGCTGATTCAACTGAAGTGCGTCCAGATAGGAGCCCTCTTGTTGGACGGCGGCCACTAATTGGCCGGCGATGGTGCCATCACCCAGAGGAATGTGCGAAGGGCCTCGGCCTCTCCGGAGACAGAGGATTTGTGTCATTCCCCCTGCAGTGACCTCTTGACCTCCTTCGCATTCAGCAGTTATATTTACGTGCGACCGCACGGCCGCCTGCTCGAACAGTCGACATTACGAGTGTTGATTTAGCCCAGTTTCATAATGTGACCTCACATCAGCTGGAGACTGTGGCAACTCTGTGTCGATAGAGGATAAGTTCTACCTTCTACAGCAGTACTTGTATGTTCCACTTGTACTAAAGGTGCATGTCGACGTCTGCTCACGCTGCTGCCTTTTTCATGGTGCATAGTCACTAAATCCTACTGACACCACAGTTTGTCCTACAGACTTCATAATGTGGTCAGACTTTAAGCACATACGATGACACATATTTGCTTAACAACCGAATTTACACTACAGGTGACGGAAAATGTGGTTCTTATTGCACGACATCTGGCAGCTCAAGAGCTTATGCTTGGAACTTTAGAGTCTAATACCACATAAACATCTGTACACCAAACGTTGTTGTGAAAGAATGAATCGTTGGATTCTCAACTTTCTGACGGCCCTTGACCCACTCATCTGTGACGTGTTAGTCAATAAATCACTGTTTTAGTCCATGCATCATCATATAAAAATTATAATTTGTGACTGTGACGCGCGCTCCATCTGGGAAAACATCTAAACTGACGCTTAACTTCTTGATATTTCATCAAATTCAGTTTATTCTACATGTCCCATCCTAAAAAAAACACCAAAAATAAACCGATTGCGTCACCAGATTTCCTAAAAAACTAAAAAATTCTGCATTTCTGTGCGTAACCGTGAAGCCGTTAGTGACTCAGCTGCAACAAACTGTCACATGACGAAAATTCAGGGACTTTTTGGCTGATTTGCAGGCAGTGTTTACACAAAGCAGGTGGAAGTCAAGCATAGAAACAATATCTATAGGATGTGGAGCCAGCATATTGTTTTTAACTGTTGACTCTTGGACACATGCTGCACGTGTTAATCCCAGGTTTAATGTCGTTATTGATTATAACTGCACAAATTACATTTTTAAGTACTTCTAGTCATGGTTGTGCTGTTTCTGTAGAGGTGCAGGACTTTATATTGCCATAAACAACGAGCTAATAGTGA